CCCAGAAGGGTCAAGCAAATTCTTGGGGGTCACCCAACAGATCTAATGGCAGAAGTGGGCCTCTAGCCCTGAGTACCCAAAGGTCTCCTCTATCCCCTCTCAAGTTTCCTGCCATTGAAGAGGTCAAGTCCTTTTCCTATGGCTTTGCCAGGGGCTGCCTGGCCATGGACTCAGGTAGGCACAGGGAATGCAATGTGCTTTCCTAGCTAGTTCCCGAAGGGGGAAACTTTTCTGTCTTGTTCTGGAAGCCCAGGTTTGGTAGGGCCCTTACAGGACTAGGCACATATCTGGTGAGGCCGTGTGGGAGTCTGCAACCAGAATAACTGGTTTAAATTCACTCACTTACCAACTGCTGTATGAACTCCCTGCGTCTCAGTTTCCTAATCTATAAAATGGGGCAATAATAGTAAACTTGTTGAGTAAGCTGTATTAATTTGCTTATGTAAAGTCATAGATCAAGGACTGACACATAGTAGGCCCTCCAAAAAGTCAGCAATTCCCAAGTTTAGAGATCTGGACAGCCAGAAAAAAACAACCAAATTTTACCAGTTTTCCCTCCTACAAGGCCAATCTGTCCCATTTAGCAGGTCTCACATCCTCATGGGCTGAAGTCTGGACTTTTAACTTTTCATCCTGCAATCACAAAGCCCTTCTGGTCTACCAGGTGCAGGTTGTGCTGAGATGAGGAAAACCAAGGCCCAGAGAGGCGTCACCTCACACAGGAGCAGTGACCAAGCTATATCAGGCCTGGTCTCCTGCCTTTCAGCCAGTTCACCCGCAGCACCTCCCCAGTTTCCAGGCCCTGCTGGCCTGCCCTCTGCCCCTGGCCCCCTGGGAGGCTGATCCCAGACCCGTGGGGTCTGCAAGTCTGGTCTGGATTAGACACGCTGAGAAGCAAACGTTGCCCCCCCAATCCCCCCAGCAGGCCGCCTGGTGGGGCCCGTGCTCACAGCTGCTGAGGCTCACAGGGATATAAATCATGGTGGCAGGAAGCTCGGGGATGGGGACCACCCTAGCCTCCTGAAGGGCACAGGGGCCTCAGAGCCGTGGGCAGGGATGCCTGGGTCCACTCAGGGTATTTTGTCATCTTGTTGCAGCTGAAGCAAGGGCGGGTCAGAGGGGGGCAGGAGACCATTTAGCAGGTCTCACATCCTCGTGGGCTGAGGTCTGGACTTTTAACTTTTCATTCTGCAATCATTGGCAACACACAGAGACCTAACAAAAGCAGTTCAGAGAACTCTCATATACCCTTTACCTGTAAACCATTTGTCACATCTGCTTTACCCTTCTGTTGCTTACATACATTATTTCTTTTTCTGAACCATCTGAGAGGAGGTCACCTACATCATGTTCCTCTACCCCTTAAAAACACTTCAGGGTGTATTTCTCAAGTGCAAGGATATCCTCTTACATAACCATACTGTTAGCAAAATTCAGACACCATAACATTGATACTTTCATCTACTGTTCTTACTCCAATTTTGTCAACTGCTCAGTAATGTCCTCCACAGTGTTTCCCCCTGCAGTACAGGATCCAGTTCAGGGTCATGTGTTGCCTTTCACTGTCCAGGTCTAGACTTTTGCTACCATGTCCACATGAATAAAACACACAGTAGAAGGAGATGCAGACAGGGTTGACCAGACATTCAGTTTTGATGTATGTCCTGTAAATTGATATTTTTTGTAAATCCCCTAATGTTCTCATGATGGTGCACCATACTTGTGACTGCATATGGGTGCTCAAGAGTTAACTTGCTAAAGATACCATAGTTTTGTTTTGTTTTGAATTTTTTAACTGAACGGGAGCCTCATAAAATGGAAGTGGCCTGGCCCAATGAGGTGGTGGAGGAACTCTGCGCTGGGGGAAGGGGCCTTGCATTCTCAGCTCTCATCAGCTTCAAATTTTGGCAACAGTGGCCCATCGCTGTTGCCCTGGGTGACCTCCAAGGCTTTCCCACTTGTGACTGTGGAATTAGGGAAGTGAGCCCTATGTGGTGAGGAGGCATACCTGGCTTCCTGGTCGCCCAGCTGGGCCAGGGACTCGGAGGACCTCAGATGGGTTGCTTCCTCTGTACTGACTCAGTCTCATTGTGAAATGACAGACTCTGAGACCATTCTCTTGCTGGTGTTCCTTGTGTCTAAGAAAGTTGGGGAGACAGTACAACCTGAGATTTTAGCCTCCCCTTCAGGGTCCTGGGTGGCCTGGCTGAAGTGGATCACTCCACCTCGAGCAGCCCTGGGTTTCTTCTCTCTGAGCTCTTTACTCCTCTGGCTCCGTGTTGGCCTTCACTCAGGGAGCCTTAAGAAGCTTGGCTGGGCTGGCCTGTCCTGAAGGTGGAAAGTGTGTGTTGGGGGCAGGAATGTTAGGCAAACGACCCCCCAAGGGACTGGTTCACAGCGGTGCCTCTCCCAAGCCATGTGTGATGGGCTGGCCTTGCAGCTCATAAAGGCTCAGATGTTAACTGTCCAGTGCCCAGGAACAAGGCTCAAGGAAGGCAGCAAGCCACAAAATGTATAACATGGAGCAGTATGCAGCTGTGAAAAAGCATGAAGCTGCTCTGAACACTGAAGTGTTCCCAGGATGTCTTGGTAAGGAAAAAAGTCCAAGGGCAGAACAGTGCGTATAATGCTACCACTTGTGTGGAAAAACAGTATATATGTGACTTGCTTGAAGGTGCAAAGACTATCTCTGCAGGAACCCCCAAGACCCTGGTTAATATCAATTGTCCCTGAGAACTGGAACTGAGTTGCTGGGAAGGGAGACTTATTGTCAGTTTGTTCTCTTTAGTGTCTTTTGAACTGTGAACTCTGTATAATCTGTCTCTAAGGAAATACAACAGAAAGAACCCAGGCTGAGTAGGCTCCTGAGGGGCTCCTGGGATGCTAAGTGCATTTCTTTATCTGCACACTGGATATACAAGTGTGCTCAGCTTGTGCCAACTCGTTGAGCTGTACACTTAACATCATGTGCACGTTCCCAAATGTATGTTATAACTCGGTAAATAGTTTCAACTTAGTATGCTGTAAATGATTGTTTAAATGTATATATATTACAAAAACTCTGCAGGACTACAGTGTTAACTGTGGTTGTGTTTGGGATGGGCAATTCTAGCATCCTGTAGCATTTGAATTGTTTACAGTGCAAACATTAGCAGAGGAATCTATGAATGCTTTGTCAGAAACAGCGATGAGTATAGAGCACTCCTGGAAGGATGCACAGGAAACTGCTAACAGCAGTTGTATTTGGGGAGGAGCCTGGGGTAGATGTGTACTTTCTACTGCATACTATTTGATACAAGTTGAATTGTTTACCCAGTGCATAAATGGGTCTATTAAAAACCATTTAACATAGCAAAGCAAATAATCATTCTCTCCCAGCTGCTCTTGATGGTTAGAGATCAACAAGGGAAGCCCAGAAGGGTCAAGCAAATTCTTGGGGGTCACCCAACAGATCTAATGGCAGAAGTGGGCCTCTAGCCCTGAGTACCCAAATGTCTCCTCTATCCCCTCTCAAGTTTCCTGCCATTGAAGAGGTCAAGTCCTTTTCCTATGGCTTTGCCAGGGGCTGCCTGGCCATGGACTCAGGTAGGCACAGGGAATGCAATGTGCTTTCCTAGCTAGTTCCCGAAGAGGGAAGCATGGCTCCACTGGGACACAGGATAGGCCAGACCAGTGTCCCTAGAACACAGGGTGAGCAAGGTGGGGGATGCTTGGAAAACTTTCCCTGGTGGGATCCTCCTTCCTCCTTTTCATACCAAAGGAGTTAGGTGTGGTGGCTTCATGACCCACTCCAACCTGGACTGGCAATACTGGCGACCCCCCTATTCTCCTGGGACCTCATTTTTTGTCAGTGAGGCAGGCAGGGTGGGTCTGGCTCAGAGTTTGTGGCACCGTGCCTGGCATGGAGCGGGTGCTCAATAATCTGTCGATGTGCAAAATGGCAGCCCTGCTTCAGGTTCAGAGGGTCAAGGGCGGGGGGTGGCAGAGCAGAGTGGATATGAGCATGGATGCTGGAGCCATGCTTCACTCAGTAAACATGAAATAGAAGTTTGTTAGATACATACATTTTAAAAATAGGCATATGAGGGTGCCTTGAAGAAAAGGTGGCTACCTGGCTCTGCTGCCACCTGGTCCCTCCCTGCTTTTTCCTCCCTTCTTCCAGCCTCCCAAGCATCTCTGCTCCTGGCTTCCCAGAAACAGAGTCCCAGCTGGAGAGCCAAGAACTCCTGGCTCCACTGAACAGCTGTCACCATCACCGTATTGATTGACTCTGCAAAACAGGAAAACATTAGCCCCATCTCCCAGGGCTACTGGGAGGATAACTGGGGTCCTGGGGGCTGGCACTCCATCTGGGGGATCTCCAAGGGAGGAGAAGGCTTTAAAGGAAGACAAACCTCAAGTCCTCGTCCTGCCACATGCCAGCCATGTGCCTTTGGGTGTCACTGTTCTTCCAAATCATCTCAGCTAAAATAGGTTAAGAATATCCCATTAGCACACCCTCGCTTCCATATGAGGAAAAAGGCACACCTATACAGCCATGTCTGTGAGGACATGGACAAGGCATGGCCTACAGTGTGGGGCACTCACTAAAGTGGCACAAGCAGCTACTCAAGGACTGAGGATACCCTTTACCTCTGTGTACTGACCAGAGATGACAGCCAGGCAAGGTTAAAAAGGAAGGAACAGAAAGCGTGTGCAATGTGCTACCAACCATGTAAAGAATGTAAGAAAGCATGTATTTCTGGATTTGCTTAGTTATTCATAGGGAATGGGCATGTCAAAAAAATCTATTGGTGAGGCCTGCAGGAAGAACTGGTGGCTGGAGGACATGAGGGAGGGAGATGTCACCAGATAGCCTCCTGTACCTTTGAGTTTTGAACCAGGTAAATGAATATATTCCTCTTCAAAAATACATAAAATTATGATTTCTTTAAAAACTGCACCAGGCCCCTCACAGTTGTTCAAGACTGGGAGGAAACTGTGCTTATTCTGACTTTTGGAGAGGGTGCCACCCTGCTTTCCCCAGCTGCAGCCCCTCCAGGGTCCCACGCAGCACCTGTGACATCTGTGTCTCTGCCAAAGTCAAGGGGAAGGGCCACCTCTGACCTCTCATGTCCCTGAGACCCTCCCTTCTTCATCTTGGAACATCTTTTAATTAAAAATATCTTTTATTTTAAACCCATCAATTCTCTCTCTCTCTTTCACACACACACCCACACTCATGCAGACATGCACACTTCCTCTGTCACTAACAGCTTTGTGTTTTCGAAAGTTCTGCCTTGTCTCTGACCAGCCAGGGCTGGGGCTGGCTGGCTGGGTCCTCACTGCTCTCCAGGGGTGGGTGGAGATGTCCCAGGGGGCCTGCCCAGAGGGTCATGGGCCCAGGCCATTGTCCTCTGGTCCCTATACAAAGGAAGGCTGCATTTGGCCCCGGGGGTCTTCTCCCCTGTTCAACCAGTGGCTGGCTTCTGGCCTCCTTCTTCAGGGTCCTGCTTGGAACAAATGCCAGAGGAGTCCGGGTTCATCTCCTTGGCACTCGAAGGGGGGCCACCCCCCTCACCTTCAAGCAGCTGCCCCCCAGGTCACGACGGCTACCCTGCAGGAGGGAAGAAAGAGGTATTAGGAAATTTGATCAGGTCACCATGAACAATGGTCCAAACCTCTGTGTCCAGCAACATGGGACTTGATAAGTGAATCAGTCAGCCCCACAATAAAGTTCTCTGCACAAGGCAGAAGAAACTCTTGAAAAAGACTGATAGGGAATGATGTCATGATAACATTTAAGGACAAAAGCAAGAACTGAGGGAATGTCCCTGTATGCCGAGATGTTTAGAGAGAAGGGCACATGGGAAATGGCTCATGGGTTTCCCCAGAGGAGAGGAATTTGAGGAGGAGGAGACAGCGTGGGAGGGAGGCTTTTTAAAATCTCTATCTACTGTTTCACCTTTCTCATTTCTTCCCCACATAATTTGTTGCTTTAAAAAAAATCTGATACATTATAACTCATAGTGTTTCATATTAAAGGGCAAAATGTGGTCACCCCACTGCCCAACTGGAGCCCAGTGACTAATTCAACCTTCAAAGTAGCCTAAGGATTTTAGCCTCCTGCCTTCATTCAGGGGGTTCCCTCTTTCAGGAATGTGTTCTTTGGTCCTATCTCCCTTGGAAGGTTTTCTCTATTCCTGCAATTGCCTAGCACTTCTGGGGATATCCCACCAGGATAAAACTCAGAGGGGGAAGACAGGGTGTGTCTTTTGTTCCCCATTAGGCTGGGAGTTCAGGGGTGGTAGGGAAAAGTTCTCACCCAGTGGCCCCAGTTTCAGCCCAGGGCCTGGAATAGAGGAGGTGCCAACCCATGCTGCCCGCATCAATGGAGCCTGCTAGGAGATGTGCTAATGGTGGCAGGCCCAGAAGCGTCCTGCCTCTCACTCTGCAGGGCACTCTCTGCTCAGCACTCAGGTCTGACACATGGGTTCATCCTTATTGTAAGCCAGCAAGTCTGCAAACATTAGAGCACCCCCTCTTTTGAGGCCTCCAGCTGTTGAATAGTGACCCAGAGGCACCTAGCCAGTTGGTGAAAGAGCTAGGCTAGAAATCCATGTTGTCCAACAGTCTGTCCTGTTTCCAGGACACCATGGTATCTGAAATCACACTGTAAATGCTCACCCGTGAGCCTGGCCAGGAGGTGATGGGACAGGCATCTTTCTCAGCCATGTAGAGAAATAGCTAGCCATCTGGGAGCTCTGCCCGCCTCCGCCCCTGGGCCCAGGTTGGGGCAGATCCATCCAGATGTGAGCCCAGCCTCCCTCGAGGCTCTCCAGGCCCAGGGACAGCATGTTCATTCACAGGCAGGGCTATTTTGAGGGCTGAGGCCACAGTCCCAGCAGAGCCTGGGGCTTGGGCTTCTCAGACAAACTCTGGCAGGAGTGGTTGAGAAGGGGATAGGAGTGGGGGGAAAGGGGGTGTAGTGCTGAGGTTGGGGTATGGAAAATTGGCCTCACACCTCCCTCTGGGTCCTCAGGGACAGGGAGAGCCACCTCCACTCCAAGTCTGCCGATCATCAGGAGACCTCAGCCCCCTGAGAATGCTGGGACTGTTCACTTCCTAAACCTCAGTTTCCTCACCTATGAAATGGGGACAAAATGATCTACTTGTTACCCCAGGGTGCAGTTGAATACAAATTCAGCTGTGAAAGAGACTTATAAACTCCAAAAGCTTGGAAGAGGCCTTGATTTAGGTCTCAGCTTTTTTGTCCCTTAAGAACTTACAGCCAAAAAATAAAAAAATTAAAAAAAAAAGAACTTACAGCCAAGGGCTCTGATAAGCACCAGAGCTAGTTTAGGAGTCGGGCTTGAGTGAGACAGATCTGCCCTTCAAGCCCTGCTCTGCCATGGGCTAACTGTTGGATCTGAGGCAAGTGACTTCATTTCACTGAGCCTCGGTTTCCCCATGTGCAAAGTAAGTTACTATGAGGATTACGAATGTTAACACAGGTAAAGCCATTAGCACAGCGTCAGGAACACAGTAAGTGTTCAATAAATGTTCACAAGTGTTATCATCAGCATCATCTGGTAATGGCCTCCTTGTCCCACTACCCTCTGTGCCACTTCTGCTCCCAAGCTGGTACAGCAAATGGGGGGGCCTTACAAGACCATCCCATCCAATACCACACCCCCAGGTGACAAAAAGGGAAACAGGGCAGAGTAAGACTGCCCTGCCATCTCCATCACAGAGGGCCACACCTAACCCCTCCTTAAACAGGAAGATGCTACAGGGAACTGTTTCCATGGTGACCCCAATCCCAGACCAGCCAGGTGGGAGGGAGGTGGTGGCTCAGAATGAAGGAATAGTCTAGGGCCTTGGAGCTCTCTGGCTTCCCAAACTCAGAAGACAAACTCCAAGACAGCCAATTTTCTTCCAGGAAAATGTGGAGGGGCCAGAGCTGGCCAGGATCTCCCCTCTTGCCTGTTCCCAGAGGAGCCTGTGTGGGTTAGAGCATGGCTTCTGCAGCCAAATTTGGCTGGGTTCTTGGTCCTGCAGACAGATCCCAGGGAAGCAGCCAGACCCAGGCGAGGCCCCGTGACCTGTGGGACAGGCCCAAGCCCACCTGCCACCCAACTGGCCTACCTGTTGCGGGCATGAGCAGGTGATAGACACTTCTCCTCCAGGCCTGCAATTACAGTCCCCTCCCACAACACTGACCTTTGCTACGCCCCAATCAGGCAGACCTGAGTTCGAATCCAGACTCCCTCATGGGTGGTGTCTCTGGACCAGTGACAGCGTCTCTAAGCTGTTGGGGATAACAGAACACCTCCTTCCCCCACTGCTGAGGGGCTTTAATGATAATATGTGAAGGTGCTTAGCACAGATCAGTGCCTATCAAGGCTGCTGAGATGGCTGTCACTGCTTAGCCTCCGCCTCCCCTCTGTGCCCCGTTACTTTCAGTGTTTATCCCTTTTGCTTTTCTAGGTTATGTTTCCTGATCCCCAACTCTTGCTGGATCTTTATGATACCAAACTGGCCTCTAGTACACCTTTCACTACCCTCTTGTCTGCTTACCTCTGTTCCCAAGCATCTTCCTCCAGGCCCTGACAGGCCCTTTGGGTTCCCCCTTCCCACCATCAGGCTGCAGCTTTCCTGTCTTCATTGCCTGGCCCTGGTGCTGTGCTGGGAGTTCCTGATTGTGCTGAGTAGGGACCCACAACCTGTGTCTTTGGGCATGTTCTCAGAGCCGAAAGAAGGTGGCTATTGGTAGAAAAGGTTTGTTGAACTGAATGAACAGGTGAAAGGCAGTCAGGGAGTATTGCCGAAGGCCCAGGCAGCCCTTCACATCCCAGGCTGGACACCTGAAGGCCCACCCGGCTTTCCAGCTCAGCTTGGAGCACTGACCGGGGCCCATAGCTGGGAGTGGCAGGGACCCTCGACAGGATACAAGTCAGAGTCTAAGAATGACTCAGGGAAACTGAAGTAGCCATGGGAGTGAAAGGCTGGGAGTCTGATGAGCTAGAAGAGGATGGTCTGAAGCTAGGACACAGATGCTTCTCCAGAACAGAAAGAAGTCGGGGACCTGGGCAGCTCTGAGCACCAAAGAATGGGGGACTCAGAGACCTGACTCCAATCCCCCATGCACTTTCCCTTTCCAAAAGGCTGGGGGCCAGTCAGCGACTCTCTCAGCCTCAGTTTCTCTATATGTAAATGGTAGCTGCTGGGATCCAAAACTGTCACAAAGACAAGCTTTCTTGCAGTAGGAAAAGCCCAGGCCAGGCAGAAAAGTCAGAGATGAAGCAGCTCCTTGTGTCCTGGCCAGGAGAAAGAGCTTTCAGCCAGGAGAGGCCGCTGGCCACCTCTGCAGCTACCAGCCCCATCCACACCCTCCCTGTGTCCTGACCCAGGACAGACCACAGGAGCTACAGTCCAGCTTTGCCCAGCTGACTCGAGAGTCCTCCCCCAACTCCATCTCTTTTGGAGCTGCGTGCCTTCGTGGCATCCTCTTCTCTGCTCCTACTGTTCATCCGCTGGGTACCTCAGGCTCTCAGTCAGGGCTCTGCGTCCCATTTCTGCTCAGTCTCTTGCCCTTAGGTCAGTTCTGAGGATGGGGGACAATTATTTTCCTGCAGGGGTAGCTCAGGGCAACACATACCCAGCCTGCATTCTGGCTTCTCAGCTGAGTAAGGTAGGCCTGTGATCACATCTCTCTGAGCCTCAGGTCCTCATCAGTGATAAAATGTGCAGAATAACTACCTGCCTGAAGGGGTTCTTGTGAAGGTTTAAAAAAAGGTGAGGATGAGGAACGCGCCCACACACAGGAAGAGCTCAACAAATGATGGCCTTTGTTATTATTTCCTCGTGCCCTCTTCCCAGGACACCTTGCAGGGGTGTCCCTCCTTGAGCAATCACCATCCTCTATGTCATGGCTGAGCTCTGGGCTTCCCTGCACCCCTTCTGTTTCGGGGACATTAGCCAGTGGTTTTCTGCTTCACACCAAACCCTGAGCTTGGAGCACCGCACCCCAACGAACTTCCCATGGCTTCCTGCTTTCTTCACTGGGGTTTCTGCCCCTCTTCTGCTCCCAAAGAGGCCCAGTCCCCCGGGAGCCCCTGACCCCGCGGTCCTAGTACTGGAGCTCCTCGCACTCACCCCCTTGCGCTGGTTGCTGAGGCAGAAGGTGCAGATGGAGCGGGGCTGGCGGCCGCCGTCGGGGACGGCGGGGACTGCACTCTTGGCGCTGCCGGCCGCACGGAAGCACGGCTGCCCGTCGTCGGCCGCGTCGCCCAGCAGCAGCACGTTGGCCAGGTGCGCGATGTAGCTGGACGCCAGGCGCAGCGTCTCGATTTTGGACAGCTTGCGGTCCACCGGCTCGGTGGGGATGAGTGTGCGCAGCGCCGTGAAGGCTGTATTCACGCTCTGCGTGCGGTCCCTCTCCCGCGCGTTGGCTGCCTGCCGCTGTCGCACGACCACCACCGGGCCCGCACCGCTCCCTGCCCGCCGCCCGCCCCCAGGGCCGGGGCCGCGCCGCGCCGCCTCCAGGCCCTCGCAGCAGCCGAAAGACTGGTCGGAGGCGTCGCTCTCGCTGCGGTTCTCCTCGTCCTCGCTCAGCAGCCGCACGTCCGGGTACAGCACGTGCGCGCCGACGGGGCGCAGTAGCGCGAACGCCATGGGCGCCGGACCGCGTCCTCCGTGTGCCGCGTCCCAGCGTTTGCTGCGCCCCGCCGTGCGCTCCCGCGCGCTCCCACCGCCCGGCCGGCCGCCGCCTTATAGCCGAGGGAGGGGCCAATGGCGAGGCCGCCCCGGCTGGGGAGGGGGCTCCGCCCTGGCCAATGGGAAGGCTCCCGCCGCGCCCCGGCCAATGGCGACGCGCCCGCCTCCCCTGTCCCTCAGGTTGAAAGCGGCCCGGGAGACGGTGGCCCGCCCTGAAGGTTCCCAGTCCTCGCGGGTGAGTCGGGCAAATGTCGGGAGTCTGGGTAGGTGGGTGGGATTGGGTGTGTCAGGATCCGGACTCCATAGCCCCAGCCTAGACTCGCAGGGAGGCTGCGGGCAGGTCCTTCTCTCAGCTTCAACTTCCTTATTGGAAAAAGTGCAGAGAAACCAGCTTGGGTTTTTCCGCCTTTAAATTCTAATATTGTGGTTTGGCAACTTTCGCTGTGTGTATGTCTGTAATAATGGGGGAAGGAGGCCTTTTGATAGGACAGATTCCTCCATTCTTATTTAGCAGATCTGGAACGGGGCCCAGGAATCTGCATTATCAAGATAGTGGTGTCTTAAAAAAAAAAGTAAAATAAAAACAAAACACACCAATCCCAGTAGCTCCGTTCATTCTTGTTCATGCAACAAATTTTTCTTGGGTCCCTGGTGTATCAGGCATGGTTTTAGGTCTAAGATAGAGACATACAAAACAAACTCTGCCCTCACAGAATTGACATTTTGTTTGAGGTCCTAGGGTGTTCCCGACACTTTGCTGATCATTAACTGCTCCCCTCTGAAGTTGAAGGAGTACCCCTGATTTACAGATATGAGAGCTCTGGCCTTCAGTCTTAGAAGTGGTTAGTGGGGGAACTAGCCCCAGCCTATTTGGCTTCACTATCACCCCCATTCCATTCCATCCACTCCCCAGCCCCCTAACAAATGCAAGTTTTCCCTCCTTACTCCCCACAGTCCCACCCTGGACAGTTGCAACCTCCCTGGCTCCTACTCATGCCCCTTCCAACCTCCTTCCCAAATGCCACCTCCTCCCAACACACACACACACACACACACACAC